TTGCTTCATGATAACTCACCAGCATATACTTCAAAACCAGTTAAAGACAGATTAAAAGATCTTGCCTGGGAAGTATGAACCCACCCGCCGTATTCACCAGACCTTGCTCCTTCAAATTACCACTTATTCCGATCGATGGCACATGCACTTTCTGAGCAGCACTTCAAAACATAAGAAGTGGAAAATTGGGTCTCTGAATGGTTTGCCTCAAAACAAGGAAAGTTCTATGGGGACGGTATCCACAAATTACCTGAAAGATGGGGGAAATGTGTAGCTAGCGATGGACATTACTTTGAATAAGGCACTTTTGATGTTTCTCTTGAAATTCTCGTGTTTTCTTTGATTACAAAATCCGCCATTATTGACAGGTACACCTAGTAAGTGTAGTCGGTAAGTTGTGGGTCAGTTCTCCTACCTGCATGGTCAGAGACTGAGTTTTCTGTGCAGAGTTAACATATGGACTGTGAACAGGTCACCAGCTTTTCAATAGAGAGAGCCTGTTACCGGAATGGCTGAGCCCAGCCAGGGCCTTCATTATGTCCCGCACAGGGGCTATGGCCATTACCCTCCTGGGCGACGTCTCCAGGAGAAGCCCACACTGGACGGAAGCCGAGCTCACTTGTGGTGATTTTTCTGACTTTCACTCCTGTAACAAAATAACTAGAACTAAATATCCCAACGTTTCCTCTTTTTTATTGAGTTGGGTCCTGTTGCATCATGATTGCAAGTGGTCACTACATTCGTAATATGCATGAGGCTCTCTGACCCCACTCACAGCGGCTCAGCTTGCCAAGCAGATTTTATGCATTTACACTGACAAGGGTTTTTCCTGGTTCTTGTGAAATATTGTACAAAAGTTTAAATCTTAATCACATGGAGATATGCAATTAATGACTTCTGGAGAAAATAATACAAAACATGAAACCAGGACAGTCCCAGAAATTCCAATTTTTTAGTTTATCAAAACCACTCTCATTTGTACTAAAATGGGGTCATGATGGCTGGAAGTCATGAAAGGTAAATCCTGAAGAGTATTAAACATTTACAATTCTTTTCATCTCAAATACACAAATCTAACACGAGGTTAACATTATTACTGTGTTAGAAAACCTGATCAGAGGAATAAAGATGATAATTGGTCCTAACTTCTCTATATGTAAGGAGATGCTTGGGTGAAAGATAATGTGTGCTCTTAAGAGCAAATGTTGCCTTCTCAGGCCAACCAACAGAAAGTCAGGATAATGCCCACATTGCCCTACCAAATGATTTTTAAGGATTATTGCAGAGCTGTGTGTCAACCTTCCAAACTTTAGGCTCACCTGATCAAAACCACCTGTATCTGCTTCCGTAATTACCTCTGGCTCTCAAACATCTAATTAAGTCCTGTAGCTAGAAATGAGACAGAGAACATGCTTTGAAGGGGACCAGGAAAAAATGCTCACCCTGGCCATGACATCACCATCTGGCACTGTCAGAAGTCGGCCTTCAGGTTGTCCTGGCCTGGGCCTCCACCCCAGCACAGAGCAAGCCCGCCATGACGCAGACCCACAGGGCCAGGCCTGGTCCACAGCAGAACGCATTTATTGCATTAGGTTCATTTTGGGTATTTCACGTGTGGGAACCCTAATCAGAGTACACCAGACGTTCAAGGCCAAGTTGTCCTACGCAGGTGCAAAAGCAAGGACACAGCACTCTCACTGTACGCACTGCGCAGGTGTGCTCTATAACCCAGACATCGGTGTCACTACTGGCAAGAAGCCTCTTTTGTCTAAGTTGGCATAAAGATGTGTTGTTGACCAGCTGGTGCAAAGCTGCTCCGATAGCTCCTGTTTGGCGTGCTGCTTTGTGAGGCTCCTGTTTACAGCTGCTTTGTGAGGCTACTTGGAAGAACTGTTTGTCTGATGGCTCCTTGTTAGCAACGGCTACTTGGTCTGCAATAAAGCCTCTACATATGCCTAGGACTGCTCATGTCTTCTCCATCTGAGGCCCAGCCTCCGAGGACCTGTGCTCCCACAGTTGCGCAGTCAAGCAGGATCGAGGAGGAACTTGCTCCCACGATGTGGTTTCAGTTACACTGAGCAAACTCGGGGTGGGTTTGGTGGTGAGCTGTCACAGGAAAGGTAATTCTGTCTGCATACGAACCTGAGTCCCAGCTACTCAAAGCACAATAGACTCTTTGCTAAGGCAGAAGAAAGATCATCTCTCATCCCATATGGTAAATTTAAACTATTAATAGGTATTTTAATTCCTTTTTTTGTCCTCTGCAGTGTACGATTTGGAAAATGAGTTTTTATTTACTAATATGCGACGTGTTTTAAATCCAGGGTGATCGAAATACAGTGCTTTGCTGAAACAAGATCCTTATAGTCCACTTCCACGCCACTGAGTGAGCAGTAGGAACACGCCTCCGTTCGCGTTTCTCTGCTCTCTTCCCCCAGGAACACGCCGAGAGCAGCCGTTTTCAAAATAAGAATTGGCGCTATTTCCTACAATGTAGTGAAGCAGCAAACAGAAATTTTGTGACTGTTTTCACAGACACTTTCTATAAAAGGGTGAGTTTAGACCATGTTTGGGAAAACAAGACATCTAGAGTAAATTAATGTTTTAAAGTCAGTATTTGTGTGACTGATTAATTAAAAGTAATTCCTAGTGTGAAATGACGTGTTACCTTGAGCCCATCTGCTGGCCAGCGGTGCAGACCGCACTACAGGCTGTGTATACATCTGGTGCTAGCATGCAGCCGTGAAAGACTAGGCTTGTGGTTTACCTCTGAGCTGTGCGCTGGGGTTGGAATTTTCAAGCACTTCAGGATTCTGCTTTAAAACACACAGAATATAAAAGAATGGTTTCTAAAATGTAACAATTAGAATAAATAACATTTCATTACAATTTTTTAAAGGGATTTTAATAAAGAAAATGATTACCATGTAATTGGCAAATTCTCCAGGGAAAAGAAATTTAGGACTGAAAAGGGTTTATTTATTTATTTTTAGATCTAAGCCTGATTCTCAGCTTGGTGCCTTATACACACTAGGCCCTTCCGAGCCGGCTCCCAGCTCTGGACGCTGCTTGCACGCACGCCTCCCTATGGGTGCGGCTCCCAGTTCAAGAGTCCAAGAGGCCGTGTGAGCCCCAGGGGGTCCATCCAGCGAGCCGCTCACCTCTCTCAGCCGCCGGCCTGACATGCCCCAGCCCTCAGACCTCTCAGTGTCTCAGGACGTGTCCTCAGGAGGAAACGTCTTCTTAGTGTCTGAGCTCCAGAGAGCCCAGGCCCGCCGCGCCCTCTGCCAGGGCCCACGGGCAACAGGACACGCTGCACACTCACCAGGCCTTTCTAACCTCCCCGAGCTGTGCCCAGACCAGGCGCCAGGGTGCCACTCACGTCGCTTCCAGAATCCCCCCGGAGGCCACACCCTTAGAGTCACTGGCCTTCTGGATCCTGCCCCCCCTCCCTCTCCCAGGGCCAGGACCCCCCCACTCCTACCCCCACCCTGCGCCCACCTCTGGCTCCTGCTCCACACCGGGCTGCTCCCTCTCGGCCTCCACACCTCCTGCCGCAGCCAGAGCATCTCTAAACATCACCGCCCATAGAGCAGCCGGCAGGACCCTCAGTGGCCCTCCCTCACCTGTCAGAGAAGCTCCAGCTGAGTAGGGGAGGCCTTCAGACCCACCCACCATTCTCCATCCTGTGTGCCTTACAGACACGGCCCTCAGAGCCTGGTCCCCGGGGCAGGGCAGGCCTGGGCGCCCGTGACTAACACGCAGCGCAGTAAGGCAGAGATCACTGCCTCCAGCCCCTCCATGTGCCCCTGGCCTAACCTGCCAGGCCTGGTCCAGGAGGCCTGAGCCGAGATGGGAACACGCTCGGTACCCTGGGGCCAGGCTTCGTGCTCCCTCTGGATTTTGCTCAGGCCTCTGGGCAGAGGGACGACCCGCCCCCTGCTCACAGCACCTACCACTGTGGCTGCAGGCTGAAGCTGTGCCGCTTCCTTTATAAGCTCTGCAGGAGGTCCCACGCCTCTGAAGTACGACTCCACGTGAGAGGGTTACAGATGTTACTCCAAAGGATTGAAACAACAAGTCCACATGGACTGTGACTGAGCAGGTTTCATTTCCCTGAGTCATATTCCATCGTATCCAAACCCTGTCGGTCCCAGCAGTGGTTTTCACAGGGCACAGAGGGCACACAGAGCACACAGAGCCGTGGGCGTCCTGCGGAAGGCCCTGCAGGTCGGACGGAAGCGGGCCCGTTCCAGGGGCCCTGGCACTGCTGGTCCCCAGAACACACCGCACAGCAGCAGCACGTTCGGCCACTTAAGAGGAGCTGTAAGACCATGTTTATCCAAAAATCATCACGTGAACGAGACACTGATGCCCAGCGCAGCAGTCTCTCCAGGCCGTCTCTGGTTTTCAGGGTTGCCATGGATCCGAGTAACTGTAAAGCCTCATTAGTTTAGAGGCTTGTATTTAACTTCAAAAATAAAGTGCTTTGGTTTAAAAATAAAAGCAAGGCTATATTTCAGCTTCTAAGAAACCTGCTCCTCTGAGAGTGGAGAGAAGACCATCCCTGGGGAGATCCTCCTTCAGTACAGACGCTTGCTGGTCCCCGCCTTCCCGTCCAGCCTGCATGGCGAGCTGGCCGCCAGGGGGAGGCCACTGTCCGTCGCAGTGCGCTCTCCTCCGGCACCGGGCACTGCAGAGCAGGTCGGCGTGACACTGAGTGAACAGTCCACCTTCCCGCGCAGTCAGGGAGGAGAAGGACAAGCCTCACCTGCCAACTGGTTCTTTAGCATAAACATTTGAGTTTCCCCACATCCCAGTTCTGAACCTACAGAAATACTTTTCTGCTTTGCCTTTAATAAGTAATAAAGTCATAAAGTGTGTTAAAACCTTATTCACAGCTCTCTGTGCGTGGGGGTGGAAGCAGGACTTACTGTACACCCTAGTGGACTGAACGAGAAGACTGACTTGGGTTGTTTGTGTGGGGAAAGAGAGGGAGCACCTACATGACTTTTATTAGTGACTGCTGTCATCCAAACAGGAAGTGCCCACCAGCGCCTTCCTCCAAGCCCTGCGAGCCCCCCGGGCCCTCACCCCTTGGGCACTGATCTTGGAATGGCAGCCCAGGCTAGGCCCCGGAAAAGGCTCACCAAACCCTGTCCCTGGAGAAAAACAGCTCTTTCATTCACAGGTGTGACAGCAAAACAAAGGAAATGACCTTCAACACAAGACGCTGCAGAATTAAGTCCCCCGAGAAGGCGTGACGCCTGACACTCTGATTCTGCACCCGTGTTAGGGGCTACAGTGCCGAGAGCTGGGGAAGTGCAGTCCAATAAGGGGAGAGTTAGCGCCCAATAAAGGCAGCCACGTCTCTCTGGGTTTTACTCTAATCAAAACCAGCCTGTCTCAGAGCTCCTTTCTCTGCCTCCACGAGGAGCTGCACGTGGTACTGACCCAATGCAGCAGATGTCTGGCCTCACCAGGCCCGCGATCAGTCTCTAGGGGTGAGGCTGGCCTTTGGCTCTTCACCAGGTCCCAGGTGGAACCAGCATCCGTAACTTTGTTCTGACTTGAATGACAGACCGGCTTTCAGCAGCTCCTTCAGTCTCCAGGGTCAGACAGAAGAAAAGCCCCTCTTCGCTCACACAATGAACAGGCGCCTGTGTCCCGGCTGACCGCAGTCTGCTTTTACTGAGGGGAGAAACCCGTGGGCCTCTGCCCTCGCACAGGTTCTCCTCCCATCACTGCTTTCCTTCCCCTTGATGGGCTCTGATTGTGCCCCGGGCCTAGGCGCAGAGCTGGAGGCTGGCCTGGAGGAGCCGCATGGAAGTGTCCCACTTCGACACTCACCCTTCCCAACGCACCCTCGCCCCTGGCCTCTCCCCACTCACACCCTCGGATCCCGCTTGTGTTGTCCAAATCCATTCTATTCACGTTTTAATCTGCCGCTCCGGTCACCACCATAGCGAGGTTTGTTCAGCAACATTATGAAAACAGCCACCAACGCTAATGCCGCGCCCAGACTGGGGGGGCCACAAGGGCTGAACTCCTGGGCAACTCCGGAGAGGAGGGGGGCCATGACCCGGCCCACGGCCGTCACTGACTGCCCCACGCCTATGAGGGTGCCCCCGGCCTGGGCCCCGCCTGCAGCTAGCTGGACGTCTGTGATGCACGTCCTGCCCAGGGCCGTGGAGAAGGACAGCAGCACGGAGGGGACGACGGCGGCGCCCAGGGTGGGGGCCGTGGAGTAGAGCAGCAGCAGCAGGAAGGTGAGTGCGCTGGAGTGCAGCAGCAGCCTGGGGGAGTTGTGCCTGTACAGCCGCAGGACGGGCCCCAGGACCAGGCCGGCCAGGACCCCCACGGCGCTGCTGTAGCTGATGAGGTAGCCCGTCACCTTGGGTCGCACCCCGAAGCGCTCCTCGAGGGCCAAGACGAAATTGCTGTAGTACAGCATGACCGCCACGGCCATGAGCAGGCGCACCAGAAACACGTCCCACATCTCCGAGAACACCAGGCTCCTCAGGCCCCGCAGCGCGGCCACGCCCTCCGCCCAGGGCCCGTGGGCCTGCTGGTCCTCCGCACTCCCAGGCCCCAGGCTCGCCTCCTGCACGGCACAGTCTGTATTGTCCAAAGGCGCATGGTTCTCACCCAATCGCAGGCTGCTCTCTGTACTGTGGACACTCACTTCACTCCATGGAAACAGCCAAACGAGACCTGTTGAAACGCGCGTCTGTTAAAGTGGGTGACTTCACGGTCACACACGCCTCCCACGGGGACAGGCAATGACTGCATTAGGTTATACTGCACTTTTTTATTAGCAGATTTACTCATCTGTATTCTTGAATCCGGTTTTTAACCATTCCCACAGCTACTTCTACTCCATTTTAATACCAGAATTCTGCAATTCGCCTTAAGGAAAAACCTATGCCTAAGTAATACTCACTGTTTTCCCCAGCTCAAGAGCCTATGAGGGCTTCCCATAGCCCACCATTTCATATCTAAATTCTTAGGCTTTACACTTAAGTTCTTCCCTCACTACTGTGCTAATTCTCTGACTATCCACCATCTGACCACCCACCCAACACTGAAGAGTCAGGCTTCTAAATGCTGAATCCCGTGCTAGCCACTACATTCACACACAAGGCAAGGCCTGTACAATCCCTGTCCCCAAGGAACTTAAACCTGAGGGGGTGCGGGCATGCAGACGGGCAATTCGATTCCAGGGTAAGCGCTACACTGGGGAGGCAGAGGGTGCTAGGCCAGCCAGCCCTGGCAGGGCGTGGCCGGGGTTCCTGCACCAATGGCCCCGTCAGGAAGCACCTGCAGGATCTGTGCTTTTGCAAGTCTCACGTCACAACCTCTGGGGGCACCATTCCCATCGCCCATGACACCCCTTACCCAGCAGCTCTGTCCCTACTGAGATAATGCCCTCTGCCCCCAGGTGACAGGCACAGTATTGCCTCCGCTGTTATGATCCATGCCATCCAAGTACAATTCCGTGCCAATCCCTGCCCTGAGTTTTCTTAAAACTGAACTCAGGCTCGCCACCTAGGACCCGTTTCCTAACTCATCCCTGTGGTTTTCAGCCCTTCGGCACAAGTCCCACCGGCCCATGGCTGCTGGCCAGGGCTGCTCCCTGCTGTTCCCAAGCTCTGCCTGCGCGTGCGCATCCTCCAAACGCAGTGTAAGGGGCCTATTAGCCAGGCACTAGCTTAGGACAGAAAGCTGGTCGCGTGAGAAAGCAGGCCTGGACTTTCCCTCGCTCTCATTTATGACAGTTCCCTTGGACAGCTCACAGAACTTGATAAGACGTGAAAGAACTGTCGCTAAGGGACTGAAAGAGAAGTATAGTTACATAATAATAAAAATGAGGGTGACAGCAACTGGCATGTACTGGGTGGTTACCATGTGCACCGGAGGCGGGAAAACTGCTGCTGTGCAAACCTCCACTCGTTCTCACAGCACGTCCACCAGGGCTGTTTCTCCAGCTCCGATGACGAGGAGACGGAGGCAACCCAGCTGAGGCCCACACTGAACGGGGCCGGCGGGGACGACACCTGATCTCAGACCAGAGCCTGAGTTCTGACCCAGGAGAAAACAAGTCATGGTCAGGGAAGTGGCAGATCAGAGCAAGGACATAAGAAGGTGTCGGGTTGAGGAAAATGGCCGTCATTGAGGACAAAAGTATGACAAGACGGATTGAGACGACGGCTATACACTGCTCACCGCCCAGGAAGGCCCAGCACACTGTGCAACACTGTCTGTGTCCCCTCTCCCTCCCCCCTGCATGTCTCTGTGGGCACTGTCTGTGTCCCCTCTCCCTCCTCCCTGCATGTCTCTGTGGACACTGTCTGTGTCCCCTCTCCCTCCTCCCTGAATGTCTCTGTGGGCACTGTCTGTGTCCCCTCTCCCTCCTCCCTGCATGTCTCTGTGGACACTGTCTGTGTCCCCTCTCCCTCCTCCCTGCATGTCTCTGTGGGCACTGTCTGTGTCCCCTCTCCCTCCTCCCTGCATGTCTCTGTGGACACTGTCTGTGTCCCCTCTCCCTCCTCCCTGCATGTCTCTGTGGGCACTGTCTGTGTCCCCTCTCCTTCCTCCCTGCATGTCTCTGTGGGCACTGTCTGTGTTCCCTCTCCCTCCCCCCTGCATGTCTCTGTGGGCACTGTCTGTGTCCCCTCTCCCTCCTCCCTGCATGTCTCTGTGGGCACTGTCTGTGTCCCCTCTCCCTCCTCCCTGCATGTCTCTGTGGGCACTGTCTGTGTTCCCTCTCCCTCCTCCCTGCATGTCTCTGTGGACACGTCTGTGTCCCCTCTCCCTCCTCCCTGCATGTCTCTGTGGACACTGTCTGTGTCCCCTCTCCCTCCTCCCTGAATGTCTCTGTGGGCACTGTCTGTGTCCCCTCTCCCTCCTCCCTGCATGTCTCTGTGGACACTGTCTGTGTCCCCTCTCCCTCCTCCCTGCATGTCTCTGTGGACACTGTCTGTGTCCCCTCTCCCTCCTTCCTGCATGTCTCTGTGGGCACTGTCTGTGTCCCCTCTCCCTCCCCCCTGCATGTCTCTGTGGGCACTGTCTGTGTCCCCTCTCCCTCCTCCCTGCATGTCTCTGTGGACACTGTCTGTGTCCCCTCTCCCTCCTCCCTGCATGTCTCTGTGGGCACTGTGACCACCCCCCACTCTCCCCTCCTCCCCTGCATGTTTCTGCATCAGCTGCAGCCTGTGACCCCACAGGTCTTTACTGGGAAAAATAAATCCCTGTTACTTAAGTGACTGGAGTTGGGAAACTGGCAGCTGAATGCATGCTCACTGACTCAGGGCCACTCACAGGCTTAGGTTAAGGCAGTGGTCGGCAAACTCATTAGTCAACAAAGCCAAATATCAACAGTACAACGATTGAAATTTCTTTTGAGAGCCAAATGTTTTAAACTTAAACTATATAGGTAGGTACACTGTTATTAACTTAATTAGGGTACTCCTAAGGCTTAGGAAGAGCCACACTTAAGGGGTCAAAGAGCCGCATGTGGCTCGAGAGCCGCAGTTTGCCGACCACGGGGTTAGGGAAAACGTTAAATAGCACTATTACTGAAAACTCCAAAACAGGACGCCACACTCACACTCCTGGCTCACACACTCCTGGCTTCGAGTGACCGCATGTGGGTGCCTTCCTTCACATCAGAAGGTACCTGTTCATACCAACCAGGCATGTGCTTAAAGCCATTTCATCTAGGCTCACACTGATCCATCGGACCCCTCCTCCCGGCTGAGGTACAGGTTACACTCCTGGCAGAGAACCGTGCAGTATTCCCATGAGCCCTGAGATTAGTAAGCTCGTGAACTTTGTTCTTGAGGCTGACATCCCAACCCAGCATGGAATTAACCACTTCAGCCTGAAGTCTTCAAAATGAATATCAAGTAAAGTAGAATATAATTAGATTTAGGACAACTGAACAGCATGACTCCTCTTGTTAATAAAGCTGTTCATCTAAGGGTTGGCCATGCACCGGTCTCTGGGCAAAGAGGTTTCTCCTCTCGGCTTTAAGCAGCCGGCCGGGCACCCTCGGGGCTCCCGTCCAGCGGGCCTTCTTCTATTCATCCGATGTCACTGAACCCCGGCCGCACGTGCCTTCCTCTCTGGGCACTGAGCAAATACAGCTCTGTGGGGCTGACTTTCTAACTGTGTGTGTTGGGGGGAGGGGAGAAAACACACTAGTAATACGGCTTCAGAAGAGCTGTAAACAAATGCAGTTACCTTAGACAACGTGATCAAAGCAAGCTTCTCTGAGGAAGCAGACATTTTAAACCTGAGTGACAACAAGAAAGAGCCAGGGAAGAAACGTGCAAAGAACTCTGCAGGTAGAAGAGAGAGCTCACGGCAGCGCCGTCCTGTGGGAATAGCCTGGTTCGTGTGAGGTCGACCAGGAAGCCAGTGTGGGAAGCACCTGGAGGGAAAGCGGGGAGGGCAACACTGTGAGGCTGGGAGACGAGCAGGGCCTTAGCAGGACGGAGCCCACGGGAGTCTGCACAGGGCGTGGCACATCTTTCATTTCTGAGTAATGAACCTACACACTCTGAGAAAAACAAATTATTCTAAGGAGATAAAAGCGGGTAGATCAGTCAGCATGAACGAATAAACCAGCTTTTCATGATTCAATGGCGACTTACCAGCATTGAGAATGAAGACAGAAAAGCAGATGAAGCATGTCAGGCAAAATCCACCGTCTAGTTCACTAAGACAGCCACCGACCATGGGGCCCAAGATGAAGCCCACACTGGACGCTGTATTTAACTGTCCAATGACTAATGGCCGCTCCTTCTCTGGAACCAGATCAGAAAGCATAGCCCTTGAAATGGAGAGTGTATGTTTAAAAATACCTGCAAGGAGACAAGTAACATATTCTGTAACATTTTCCACATTAAAAGCAGGGACTTCACCTCTATCCCTGATGGAGTTCCTATCCATTTCCTTTGAACCTCTCAGGCCACATGTTCCCTGCTGCCGTGATGGACTCCTGGTGCAGCCCACCATCCTGGCTGGCCACTCTGTCCCTGGCAACCAAGCTCCTGGATCCCCAGCTTCCCCCCACCTCCCATCAGGACATCCCAGTGTCTCCAGTCATCTCCGCTATCCAAGTACAATTCATGGTGGCTTCTATATAGAAAGTTACCCTTCATTATTCATAAACTCGGAATAAACATTTTCTGCATGCCTACTATATGTCCAGCACGAACCTTGACCCTGAGGGTAATGCAAGGAACAGAAAGAACAGAAAGGCAGGAAAAAGACAAATATCCTGTCCTCACAGAGCTTCCATATCTCTCTAAGTTAAGTGCCATGGAGAGAAACAGAGCAGAATGACAGGGAGTGAGTAAAACATAACATATGATGATACCACTGATTTTCTACCAGCAAGAAGCTTGTGAAACTGTTGACTACACAAATTGAAAGCTGCGATATGACTTTACTTCTACTGATGTATTTGACCTGTAGGCCCCCACACATTGAACACACACACTCATAAACAGACTGGTGAATTCTGGTGACCTAGGTTGCCCACTATTTTGATTAAGGCATCGTAGGTCCTACTAATAAATGCTGCTGGCAGGCCTGGCTGACTGCTCCTAACCGGATGGGGCACTGGTTTCCAGTGAGCTCCCTGAAGGAAGCAGTTGCATGTCACCACTCAAACCAGGTTGGTTTATATTAACATTATCATCCTCCACATAAATCTCTACTCATTTTGTAACAAATATAAAGGTGGTATTGTAAGAGTGGTAGTATTGTAATCCACCCCACCATTCTTGTGACTGTCTCTGTGAATGCTGACTCTAATATGTAGCTTGTAGATGAACAGCACGTTTGCGTAAGAATCCTAGGAACTAACTTCAGAAGATGCAGACCCGGTCTCGAGTCACCCCAGTTCTGGGCCATTTGCTGACCTTCAACCATAGAACCAGATGACACAGACCCAGGATGACGAAGACCAGGATGATGCACACAGACCATCATGTGACCAGTTTCAAGGTCCTTATCGGCATGACCTGTGCTGGCCTCACACAGAGAACTTTTCAACCCCCTCCCTTGATTTCTTTGTTCTGCTTTCCCTCTCCCTCCTTATAAAAACCTCGGCCGCACTGAGACGTTGCAATGGGCTTTGTGACAAGAGTTCCCCGTCTTCTCAGGTGTCTAGCAGTTCAAACAACCACTTTCCTTTTTCACCAGCACATGTCTCACAAATTTGGCTTTCTTGGCAGCAGGTGATCAAATCTTGGTTCCAGTTACACTATTTATCTCTCATCTGTTTCTTTTGAATTCTAAACAGCCTTACCAGTGAATGGTGGAGTGTATTATACTGTACAAGGACACACTGCCACCCAAACCAAGAACATAAAATAATGTGGACACCAGGTGCACATGAAACAGCTGTCAGTGGATTTTATGTGTGATGGTGGAGCTTACTGGAATGATTGATCACATTTAGAACAAAGGCATTCATAAACCATTGTTTTAAGTAAACCACACTCAGCATGGATTTTGGAGGGTGAACACAGAAGACTTGTCCATCAGGGTAGCAGAATCGGTCAGTGCTCTCATGAGAAAGGTGAGAAAGAAACAGAAAGTCCAGGGCTCTAGTCACCAAGAAAGGCAGAGAGGGAATTAAGAGTAACGACCTACCCATCTCAACACCTAGCACTCACAGGGAGTATTTCAAAGAATGGAAAAACATTTTAATGGCTGGACAAAATAAAAGCTATTTCAAAAATGGAAGAAACATTCAGGAGCAGTCTGGAGACAAAACTAACCACTGAGCATTCCCCCACAAAGCAACGGCCAGCTTTACAGAAGGCGACAGGAAAGCTATAGTGGTCAGTATCCATTTGAAATCAGGAAGCCCAATTGAAAACGATAAGCTCGCTGAGGGACAGAATAGCAGTCAGTGCTGGCTGGAGACATTTCACAGATTATCCTGCTTGAGAGAGATGAACAGGAAGGAGCGAGGCACCGCCGCAGCAGCAGAGCTGTCGCCGTGACAGACACTGGGCGCTGGCTCCGGCTCCATCACACACGAGGTCTGAAGCTCTGGACAAGTCAGCAGAGCCTGACTGATGGTGGTGTGACAGCTCTAATTTGTATCGCCATTATGCCCTCTACACATAAGCTCTGGTCAGGGGCACTGACCAGCAGGGACAGTTTTCTCTATGCATATATAGGGTGTCCCAAAATGCACGCAAGATTTGAATTTTGCGTGAGCATTAACAACAAAAAATGAAAGCCTAATTTTACTTGGTTTATTGAATCAGATTCTAATATCTGTTGCCCTTTGATTTCAATCCCTTCAATTTGATAAGTATTGCCAAGTACCAATTATGGCCCAGGAGCAGGGACAATGAAGACCAATGAAGACCACGGCTTTGCGTATGTGCCAGCAAAGCCGTGGAGGCCATTTACCCGATGTGCTATTCCATACATAACTTTATAGTGTATACTTTATGAATCAATATAAAATTTACAATTTTCAATTATAAACCTGTGTTTTCTATCAAAATTACTTCTTGCGTGAATTTTGGGACACCCTATACATACGAGTGATTTATTTTGAAGGAAAACACAGGCAGGGGCAAGCACTCACCCACAGAGACTCTAGCGAGGACGAACAGGAACATGTTGGTAGAGGCTCCAAGAATAAGATAACCCAGGGCACTGCAGAGAATGCACACCAGCAAGGAAAGCCGCCTTCCAATCACATCACTCCAGCAGCCCTGAGGAAGCAAGAAGCACAGACAGTCCTTGATTCACCATAAAATCACCACCTTGGAAATGCCCCCCAAATGCAAGCCAGTGGGAACCAGCAGGGAATTTGGGCTAAGATCCTTAAATGCTCAATTCTATTATGCCACTTGTCAGAGTATTTTCTTTGGTCTTCCACAAGTTGAGTGGAAAATACAACATAGCTTTCTCTCTCTCTTTTGTTTTTTTTCTAAATCCTCACCCAAGGATGTTTCATTGATTTTTAGGGAGGGAGGAGGGGAGGAAGAGAGAAACATCAATCATCTGCCTCCCATACGAGCCCTAAATGGGGACCAAACCTGCAACCTGCACACCCCAGGGCTGGGGTTTGAACCTGCAACCCAGGTCATGCCCTTCATCAGGATTTGAACCCATGATCTTTCAGTGGGGATGCTCTAACCACCTAGACACACCAGCCGAGGCTCATTTTTATCTTCGTTATCGCTTTACACATTTCAACTCCTCAGTAACAATATTTAGTTTAGAAATTTAGGAAACACTAAAAAACAAAAATATAAAAATGCTTCACAATCCCCAAATCTACAAATGATATTTCTAACAAAATATAGCATACTGTATTTTGTAACTTGCTTTTCCACTTAACAATAAATCTCGAACATTATGCCATTAAAAATTTGCCGCCTCCCCCCCTTTTTTTTTTGCTTAAAAGTGTCTATTTTCTACCATCATGACAACCATGGATTTTATCATTAATTTTTTTGGTCTGTTAATCTTCACCTGAGGGTATTTTCCCACTGCTTTTCAGAGAGCTGAAGGGAGGGATTGCAAAGGGGGGTGGGGGAAACAGAGAGAGAAACATCGATGTAAGAGACACATCGACTGGCTGCTTCCCACACATGCCCTGACCAAGCGGGGGAGTGAACCTGGAACCCAGGCATGTATCCTTGACTAGGAATCGAACCTGCACTCTTTGGTATGCGGGCGATGCTGTAACCACTTAGCAACACAGGCCAGGGCTTATTAATTTTGTCAACCCATATGGCTCAGATATACTGCAAAATGATTCCCATAATAAATTTAATTAACACTCATTATCTTAAATAGGTATAAATAAGAGTGAAAAAATGTTTTTTCCTTGTGATGAGAACTTTTAGAATTTCCTCATAACGACTTTCAAATACATCATTCAGCAATGTGAACTAGTCACCAGGCTGCACAGTACCTCCCAGTACTTCCTTATAGCTGAAGTTTGTGCCTGCTGAACGCCTTCACTCAATTTGCTCACGCCTGCCTGTGCTTATCACAAATCTGATCTTTGGTAAAAATCTCATTCAAAAATGACTTTGCTTTTAGAGTCAACATGTAAGTGAGGTCATACCGCATTGTCCTCCTCGGTCGCCTTCACTTAGCAGAAAGCCCTGCGGCCCATCATGCGGTCCCAGATGGCAGGATGGGATTCTTTTCATGACCAATAGCACCCACTGTGCACACAGACCACATTTCTTCACCCAGTCACCTCCTGAGGGACAGAAGTTGGTTCCGTCTTGGCTGCTGTAAATATAGCTGCAGTGAACATGGGGGTGAAGGGATCTCTTCCACAGCGACTGCCTTTCCTTCGGATATACAGGAGAACTGCTGGATCATATACGTGTTCTGTTTTTAATTTCTGGAGCAACTTCCGTATCGTTTCCCATGGTGGCTGCATCCATCTGCATGCCCACCAGCAGTGCCGCGGGTTTCCTTCCCTCCACATCCTCACCATCATCTGCCTTGTGTTTTAGGTGACAGCCATCCTAACAGGTGTGCAGTGATGTCTCATTGCAGTTTTGATTTGCATTTCCCTATCAATTAGTGATGTTGAACACCTTTACCATTTATTCAGATCCTTTGCCAACCTTTTCATTGGATTATTTCTTTTTCTGCTATTCAGTTGTATAAGGTCTATATATATTTTGAATATTAATCCTTATCAGATATATGGTTTGCAAATATTTGTTTCCATCCAAGTGGCCTTTTCCATCATGGTTGTTTCTTTTGCTGTGCAGAGGCTTTTTAGTTTGATGTGGAGTCTGGGGGGTGGTGCGGGGAGGGTCACAGATGCCTCAGGAGCAAAGGGCCGCCTTCCCAGCTCATCCTTCACTTCCCTGTGTTCAGTCTCACAGCAACAGCTACACCAAAATACACCTCCCTGTAGCTAGAGGCCTGGCCTTCAGAGATGCAACCAGAAGCCACTGGTGAGGCTTCTGAGAAAGTTCTTTAGAGGTGGGGGAGGGTACCGGCAGTCTCCTCTTCCTCCTTTCCTGTCTCCTGCTGAGGACTGCCCACCACGCAGGAGGCTGAGCCGCTGCTAGTGAGGAGAGCTGGGCAAGGCGATGCACGCTGGTCTCCTGCAGCCCCCCAGATGCTTGACAGCCTGGCGATCAGCTGCGCGCTTTCCTCTTTACACGTTGGAAGTTCCGTGCAGAGAGATACACGCCTGACGGAGGAGCCCAGCCCGGCTTCAGCGCTGCCAGTGAGCCGGTTCATGTACTGAGGTTCTGGGTGAGGCTTTGTTTGAAAGAAGTGTCAGAATGAAAATCACTGAACACTCTCAGAGCAACAGAGCTCTGCCGGAGAAACGTCAAGGGCAGGACTCCGGCCACGTGGCCTGGCGCTGGCTGGAAGGTGGTCTATAGCCTCCTGCTTCCTTACCCCTCAGGCTGCTCAATGACTCCCCCACCCTCTCCAAGTAGCTGCGACACCCACACCGGAGCCTGCCTCTCTGTCTTGCCAGCAGCAACCACTGTTCCTGCCCTTCCTCCACTTTTATATTTATATTTATGTGTTTATATTTTTCTAAAAAAAAAACACACAAAAGATCATTTTACAAAAAGAGGCCATACGTGGTTATAAAATTCCTTTATAAAAAATTCAAGGGTGAATGTTCTAAATACTGTCAACTTTTTCCCTAGTTCTCATTTCAGTGGATTTAGAAATTGTCCACACTTTCCTCCTGCGCTCGCAGGGCAGTGCTGAGATCTGGCAGGAACACAGGGCCCTGCGCGAGGCTGTCTGGATGCAACCCTGAGCTCTTACCACATGCCAGACACATTCCACATGGCAGCACATGGCGAGCCCGGCTCTATCTGTAAATCAGGAACAGTAATAGTGTCTGCCCTGGAGGTCTTTCCCCTCCACCCTGGCCTGGTGCCTTATGTAAAATCCGTCCTTAAAGAGGCAGGGCCTCCAGCGCCGTGGCTGAGAGCAGTCAGGATGAGGGCTGACCGCAGTCAAGTGCTCAGCACAGCGTCGGACACGTAGTAGGTACTTAATAGACGCTAGTCATTTTTATTAAAATTATCAGTCAAATCTGACACATAATTTCCTTAAGGACTTCTTTTTAAAATTAAAATGTTTCTAAAAAACTTATTAAAGATTTATAAAAGTACTGGTTGACAAGAAAATGTTTATTTGGCATTTCACGTGAATGATTTCTAAGGAGTTTCTCCACAGACATTACGGCTAGCAGGTTTATGAAATGTGCTTTGTAAGCGCAAATAGGATACAGCAAAGGCTTACTTGAGAAAGAGGGTTGGGCCATGGCTACAAGCCCGCCTTCACTCAGATCATCAGCGCCAGCAGGAGGCACTGGCTGCTTACCGCTCACTTCCCCTGCCCCTCGCCCTCCCCCCCGCCCCCCACCCGGCTCTAACATACACACTAGCAAGTGTCTGGGCAGTGTCTGGGCAGTGAGTGTCCAGGTAAAAGAAAAGCTGCTCACGAAGCACATGCAAAGTCCCTCACAGGGACCAGTGCGGCCCTACAAGCAAGCCCACCATCCCCTGTGCAACCTGAGGCTGGTTATCTATTTACTTTTTTGGATCTTTAAGGCTAAGACTTTTAGGGAGAAAAGAACCCAGGCTTAAAGTCTGGGGTCAAGATGAGGTCACTTTCTCAAATTATTTCACGTTTGTGAGTCTTAATTTCCTCCTGTATGATAAAGGGAGATGAACACTTTGCTGGGTCATTGTAAAGGTTAAATGAGAATAAAATTGTTATTGTTATACAAATTTAATCTATGAAAGACTTGAAAACAAGATAAATCAGGGTAGCTATTTACTTACCAAAGAATTCATTACAAAATCGGACCAAATTTCTTTTCTTTTTTAAAACACATTTTACGTGTAAGCCGCTCTTGGGAAGCATGGTTCCATACTCTGTGTTCACTAACCAAGGTCACGGTTGGCCAGTCCGTGGACTAGCCTGGCGGTTTTGCCTGGCCTTCCTGGACCACTGGACACCGAGGCTAAGACCAGGGCGGTTCAGAAAGGAGAAGGGGAAGCTCAGCTAAGAATTCCGAAATTCAAACAGGAGTGGGCACAGTGGGCGTGACGTGCGCAGCTCTGGCTCTTTCCACCCCACGCTACAGACAGACTTCAACCCTCCAAATGGCTCCTGTCTGTACACTTCAGTTTTAGAATTAATAAACCGCACAGTTCAAGACGCACCACTTCAAACAGAATCCTAGAAGCATGACTGGATTTGATGACTGTCAATTAATTGAAACAAATGCTAAAATTGGTAATAACCATTCTCTTTCCCAGTCAAACGTCAGCAGGGAATCATGGGAAGGACATGGTACAGTGTAAAAGTGGGCTCTCGTTCTGACTCAATGTGCTCCTTCCAGACTCTGGTACGCCTAGGTCTTCGCGCATGTCCCGTGAGGAAGAGAGGTGCCTGAGGGGCCTTCCGATCTAACGCAGGGATCTCCCATCATCCGCACGTCCGCTTCTGGAAGCCTCCAGCCCTGACTTCACAGCAGCCGCACTGGGCGCGCTCAGAGGGCAGAGCCCGCCTGCGAGACACATTGCCAGGCGGAAGGTAACTTACCACCAGGGTGCTAGAAAAGAGCTGCAAGACGCCGTAGGACGAGCCTGCAAAAAACATCAACACCAAGAGCTGAATCAGCTGGACCCTCACAGAACGGACAACGGGATAACGACTGCACAGAAATGGACAGAAAAACATCAGGAAAGCAAAGATCATTTTAAAAAAGAAATTACCCCACAATTGCTTTTTCAATTGGAAGAGTGTAAGTAATCTAATTATTAATAAAAGGTCTTCAAAATAAAATGAAAAGCAAGCAGAAGAGAGACCAAAGGCAAGTTCCCTTAGGACCTTGAGACAGCCCTTCCTCCGTGTGAGGTCCCCCGGGGACGATGCAGAGCCCAGGGGAGCCGAGCCGAATCCGGTAGTCTACCACGTCTTCAATGTTAACATCGGCACATGCACACACATCGTTTTCTCAGGATGCTTTCATGTTGTGAAGAACTTACAAAGTTTATAGAGTGCTTTGACCTCCATTCTATCACATAACATGTCTCGTAAATAAAACCCTTGTGCTGCCAGCTGGCCCAGTATAATTCCAGATACCCTTTCTGAGGGACATACAATGCTGGCATGGGCAGCGCTTACTGAATAGTATGTTCAAAACTGCCCCCAAACACCTGCTGATTGAGCTTGCGAATGACCAAGGACTAGAGTCTTAATTCTTCATTAGCACAGTCAGAAGCCCTGCCAGCTCCTGCCTCTCTGGGGCATCAGTGACTGCTGGCTGGAGACCGGCGCACAGGTGGCACCGCCTCACAGCACTCACACGTGCTGGCGCGGGAAGGCTCACCCCACGCCCCCTTTCTGCATGTCGCAAAGCCTCTCAGAACACAGGTGGGCTAGGACAAGATGAGTGAAATATCTGAAATTCATTTCATAGCACTTTTCAATTTAATTTTGGGCAGCATTTAGCTATGAGACTGACCTGCTTTCAGGTGCTCAGTCCAGGGATGTAAAATGCTGCGCTCTGAACATGTGCAGTACATCCACTCACCTGCTATTCCAGCGACGGTGGGACTTGCTCCAAGAGACTTGACGTGAAGGCTCAACAAAGGCACCACCATGCTGACACCAAACAAATCCTGAACAACAAAGCGCTGATTAACTCTAATCAGAAACAGTCTAGGTGTTTTTAAAGCGGTGATCCTAACTATACACTGCTTTTCCAAATAAAACCGCTATCTAAAACTGAGCAAATAAGAAACCGTAAGTGCATTCCATCTATGCCATACTCATCAGGTCCAAGTTATCAAGGATCCAAATACAATATGCTGCAGCAGAGGCTCCCCGTAAATGTGCGGGCCACCCTGACCTAGAATCCATGTTAACTTTAGCGTCTCTGTGACCGATCTTTAATATTCAAGAAGGATGTGCTACCAGAAGTCTCTCCAATAAGAAAACAAAACAATTTTTGTGAGCAGTCAAGTGAGAAAGGAGGTAGGGGTGATGTGCATTTCTGGACAGAGCAGCACATACTCAATAATACGCACTTCCTCCTGCAGTTAGGGAAGGTAACTGATCTGGTTTACAGCCTGAAAAGAAAGTCGCCGTGAAGCAAGAGGCTGGTGGATTAACGAACGGCCACACTCTGCAGCTACGTCACAGAGAGTGCGCGCTCTGGGATCAGAAAGACCGTTCTCAGTTCCAGGTCCACCACTCTCTAAGAAGCCTGTGTCCTGGGGAAGTTATTTAACGCTACCAGGCACCGCTGCGGTCACCTGTGAAAAATGAGGGTTTCTACCTGCCTGGCAGAAGCGTGATGCACATGAGAGACAGCGACTGAAGAGCTGACACACAATACCAGTTCAAACATATTTTCTCTTCAGTTCTGAGAGTAAGCACTGACCCTTCTTTTTTTTAACAGATTGTTAATTTTTCCTTTAAATGTCGTTCTCACTCCTACTTCACTTGGTTACTCGCTACAGCTGGTTTAGGAGAGGAAAAAACACACAGCACACATAGTGTCTTTCACAGTCAACCTGAATTTCTTTTCTTGTCATCCTAAACAGAAATACTTGAAATGATATATTTTTTTCAGCCAATAATTCATCTCTCACTCCCTGCCTCTCTTGGTAGCAGTATATTCATCTAATTACAGAAACATAAACTTCCCAATACACTTTTCAGTGTTCTTCCCATGGTTACAGCTTTAGAAGGCCATATAAATATAATATCCAGTGACCTTAAGTAGCTCATAAACCTACACTACCAGAACTATGGCGCACTATTTTGATTTTAAGATTACGGTAGTCCTCTCTTATCCATGGGGGTGCATCCCGAGAGGGCCTGAAACCAGAGTGCCCACACTTACTAGTAGATATGGTTTCCTACCCATGCATTCCTATGATCAAGTTTAATTTCTAAATTAGGCCCAGTAAGAGATGAACAACAATAACTAATAAAGCAGAACAACGGTAATGAAGGTTATGTGATGTTGTCGCTCTATAAACACCTGATTGCTCTGTACCCACCTTCTTCCTGTGCTGCTGTGAGATGGTGCAACGCCGAAGTGAGGAGATGAAGTGAGGAGAGCGGTGGGCATTGTGACCTGGCACTGGGCCACTATGACAGAGACCTGAGCATAAGCACTGTGTCATTCTGATAACCGAGAAGGCTGCCAAGTGACTAACGGAAAGGTGCAGTGTCCAGCGGGGATACACAGGACAATGGGATGACTCACGGCTAGGCCTGGATGAAGAGGGGCGGCGGGAGCTTTTAAACTGCGTGCAACTTACTTCTGGATTTTTCCACTTAAATTTTGTGGACCAACATTGACCACAGATAACTGAAATCATGGAAAGCAAAGCTACCAGTAAGGGGAAACTAATGCATTTAAAATTTCTTTTGAGTCTGAGCCAAATTGGGGGGCGGGGGGGGGGGGGGGTACTGTTAGCTTTGTCCCATCAGCCTACTGATGTTTTATATCAAGACTCAAAATACATTTTCTGGATCTTTAGTACAAGGAAACTCAACTATCCAACAAGATATGTTTTCCAAAAATATCCCCAGTACTGTTTGTATTTAATACTGGAATGGTTATTCTAAATAAGTACTGGGAGAGAAGTGTTTCAGTGGGTAGGCCGACAGCTATGGAAGACAGATATAAAGACACAGGCTCATAAGCAATAATGGTGACCATATTATTTTAGTACTTTGTGAGCCTGGAAAATATCCTCTTTTCCCAAGGAGGCTGGCTGTCGCTCCTGCCTCTGTCTTCCAGTTTAACAGAAAAGGCAGCTGCAAAGCTGGGGCCTGAGAACCAGGAGAGGAGGGGCCACTTCACCCTTCCCAGAGCACCCACCCCTCAGTGCAAACTGACGACTACATCAGAGAGTTTGGGGATCTTTTAAAAATGAATCCTCACCCGACTAAAGGTGATGAAATGAAATACAAATCTCCCAGCACCTGGAGGGAAGAAGAGACTGAAATCGCAGGTCCCGGCAGCACCTTAGGGTGCTGACCACGAAGGACCTCATCTCAGACTCCCTTTCTACACCAGCTAAAACCTAGCAGACAGAGAGCTGAAAACAGAACATTTACGCAAGTGAATTCTTTAACTTGTTCATTTCCTCTCCCAATTGGAAATCATTTTCCCCAAAGTCTTGGGGTCTTCACATCTCTGTATTAAAAATCATAACTAGGATATGTATAATATTCCTTAGCTGTGACCTAACAGCCATTAGGTGCTTCAAGTTGCATATATTATGTTAACAACACTTTCCATTTAAAAAATCCCGACTTTTAACTTGGGGGAAATCTTACATTTCCCCCTGAAGATATTAGAGACCTGATGATGCTCTTGAGTTAATTATTAAAATTAAGCTTTTACATCAGGTCTGCCAGATCAGGCTCACCATGTGGACAGTATATGAGGAGCTCTGATTGCAAATCTGAATCCCAAGGCCAACCATTAGGAACAATCTCAAACTATGTTGAATTCTAGGTCATGTTGGTTTCCAAAATTCTCTGAATTCCGGTGTGGACTTTCTAGATGAGGGTCCAAACCCTGCCCACCTGGCAGGACCAGATCGGAATGCCATCTGAGATAGGGGAGCAGTAGCCTGGGCCCCCATCTTCTACCAGAAGGTGGATGGAGGCCAACCCCCTAGATTTGAAGAACCACTCACACTCCCTGGTTCTGGATTTCGGGTGACTGGACTGGTAGGGGAAGAGGAGCCTGCATCCTCAGTCTCAGCTAAGAGAGACACTGGGTCAGAAGAAGTGCCAGGCTCTGAGCTCAAAGGCATTAGGCCTGGGGGTGGCTGCAGTAGTAGTGGGAGGCTGGGATCCCTCGGAATAGCTGCCCCCTGACGGCTCTCAGCTCTGTGCTCACAGCAATGTGGGAAATACGCTTCCATTGTCTTAACAACTGTGAATTCAACATCAGCCTTCGGGGCTGTGGAGCACCTCGCACTGATGAGGGGAGGCAGACTGAGCAGCCTCTGGGTCCTCAACCAGCTCAGTGGGACTCAGGTCCAGACTCCAGCCTCCAGCGAGGCTCCTTTTGTTGTCGAGACCGTTTGGGCCAAACGAGAAAATCCTACTGGGTCTCTGTCCCAAGCCGGGTTAGCTCACAACCAGGGCAACTGAACCGTCTAAACTTGGAAACAGGCGTGAAAAGGTGGATCTGGGCTTCCTACAGATAGTGGCCCCAAACTCCCAACACAAGCTTCCCAGTAAGGGTGAAAATTCTCCCAGGCACAGGTTGTACACATAGCAATGGGAGCTCCACACACCTAACAGACAGCAGGTATCCAGGAATCCCATGACAATGAATGAGAGGGTGGATGAATGAATTTACCTTACATACACTCGGCTTTCCAAGCTGTCCATTAGACATGGACATTGTTAACTGTCCTATTAAACCAGAACACACACGAATTGTGACAAAGCCCTGCGCCCCACAACAAAAGGGAGAAGTGTGTAATTCACGGTGACTTGCATTTGTAAACAGCCAGTGTAGCAGGAGCCCTCATGGAAGCGTGCCAAGCGGGCTCATCAACAGCAACTCCCCGGCCCTGAATGGTAGAGACCTGTGTGTTCCCCGGGCAGCCCTGCTCAGTGGGCTCTCCCGGGCTTGCCCAGGAAGGCCTGCTCCCCGCCTCGCCCGCCTGGCACCTGCCACGTCAATGAACACCTGGGCTCAGCCTCTGAGGAGGCGAGGTTCAGAGCCACCAGGGCGGCCCGGGCCCAGGGAAGGCTCCAGGGCCATCGGGGCTGGGGCCAAGGTCAGAACGCAGGGGTGATGGGGAAGCAGGAGGCCTGACTGTAGGGAGGCAGCACCGGCACCGGCGGATCTAGGTGCGCAGCCCTGGCTGAGCCTTGCGGGCGGAGGAGGGACAGTCAGGAGCCTGGGGGGAAGGTGGCCAGGGGCGCCGCGAAGGGCAAGTCTCGCGGGTGGCACCTGCCCCCGGTGGCCTTGTCCGCTCCTAGCAGGTCACTGGCCCGGCGGTTAGGGCTCCTGACCTATCACATCGCTGGTCATAGGTTCAGACCGCTTCCGACCTTTCCTCCCGGGCCTGTGGCTGCTCATTAAAATAAATGTGTGTGTGTGTGCTTCTATCTGAAATGTTTCTCAGCCAAAACTCCCAGACGGGGTCTAACCTGGCGCCCCCTGAGGCTAACCAACCCCCGGAGCTTCCAGAGAAAGCACCTGATCAGGTCAGCAGTCTGCACGGGCGGCCGCACTCACCAGGAAGCCCACCAGGTAGAGACAGCGCAGGAAGAGGGGGGCTCGCGACGCACCGGGGCCGGGGCCCCCCGCCTCGGCCGCCGTCCTGGGCTCCTGCCGCTCGGCCGCAGGGTTCCCTGGGCGATCCCGCGGGCGAGCCCAGGACGCGGAGGCCCCCAGCTCCATGCGGACGGAACGGGAGAGGACGCCGCCAAAGCCGCCGCGAGCTCGGAGCTCGCAGCTCGGCGCCGCCCCGCCCCCTAGCCCCGCCCCCTAGCCCCGCCCCCAGAGGGCACGGACGCAGACGTGCGCCTGCGCAGAGGGGCGCAGCGGGCTGGGCTCAGCCCCAGGGCGTGGTTGGCCCCAGGCCAGGCTGGAAGTGGACACGCCCCCTCCCCTCCCCCTTCCCTCCCCTCTCCCTCCCCTTTCCCTCCCCCTTCCCTCCCCTTCTCCCCTCCCCCTTCCCCTCCCCCTCTCCCTCCCCCTTCTCCCCTCCCCCCTTCCCCTCCCCCTCCTCCCCTCCGCGGAGCTAAGGCCCCTGAAGCCAGCAGTTTTTGTGACGGTGCTGGTGATGCTGTTTTCTCCGGGTCAAGACCCTATTGTGCCAGCGTTTGGAGGGTGGGAGGGAGTTGTGATAAGCTCCAGCTTAGAGTACCGGGTTGTCAAGGAGAGAGTGACCAAACTTGTAGAAAAGTTTTTATGAGTTTGAGTCCAATTTTGTGGGCATACCTAGAAGCAAAATCTCAATGGATTTGAGAAAAAGCCCTGCAAGATGGCAATTCTGCAGTTTATTTTATACATTAGAATCAAAGGAGATGTAAGGAGGGTGCATGAAATCCGCTGGTGGTAGATTAAGGCAGCCGGAGGAGGGCGTGGGGTGGGGTGGGGTGGGAAGCTCTAGGATTGGGTAAAAAGTGGAAGGGAGAGATAGACTCAGCTAGGAATTTAAGATCTGATCATCCAGGGTGGTTACTTTGTCCGGCCTGCCATGCTGGGATGTCCACATCTGGGGTGGATGCCTTGAGTGGGTGCTGGTGTTCTCCAAGACCTGCCAAACCCCTACTGCGGCTACTGGAGCCGTAGCCGGTGAACTCTCCGTGTGCTCCAGGGAGCAGGCAGTCGCTCAGAGACTTGAAAGGCTCTGCTAATATGCAGTCAGTACAGACCTCAGAGGTCTTTCGGCCTCTTGGGAAGCTCCTTACAGCCACTTGACTGCAGAAGGAAATCCTTGGGTCTGGTGTACAAATAGATCTGCATGATATTCTGGTGTCACCTAATGTCACTAGTTTGACATAGGGGTGACTCTGAAGGACAGTGGTGAAGGAAAGTCTTACCATTGGTTGGAACCCTAAGTGGTATTTTGGTTGTTCACTTTGTCTGGAGTGAGAGGTGGCCAAAAATAAATTACATTACTCATGGCCAGTACCTAACAGACTTGGAAGATTAATAACAAAGAAGTCTGGAGAAGAGATATGTGGATGGATGTCTCAAAGGGGCACAGGATGGCCTGACTGGTGTGGCCCAGTGGTTGAGCATGTACCCATGAACCAGGAAGTGATGGTTTGATTCCCTGTCAGGCCATATGCCTGAGTTATAGGCTTGATCCCCAGTAGGGGGCATATAGAAAGCAGCCGATCAAATGATTCTCTCTCATCATTGATGTTTTTCTTTCTTCTTCTCCCTTCCTCTCTCTAAAATCAATAAAAACATATATGCATATTTTTTAAAAAGGACACAGGATGTAGAAGCTACTTTTGTTTCCTTGGGGATGTTTGCCAATAGGTATCTACTGCAGAGGAGGCTCATAATAGCCAGATGGACAAAATGATGTGCTCTTTGGATATCCCAGCGTTTCTTCAATGGGTCCATGAACAAAATAGCTGTGGCGGCAGAGATGACGGCTATACACGGACTCAACAGCGTGGCCTTACTGTTATCAATGATACAGCTTAATTTTTAATCTACCAACAGCAGAGACCAACATTTAGTTCCTGCTTCACCAGTCTCTGGGGAAGAAACTTAATGGGAGGTTATTATGGAAGGGGCAGAGATTCATCCTTACTAGAATAAATAAATATTCTGCATATATATTTGCCTTCTCTATTCCTAATATTTCTGACAAAAACATTCATAGACTCACAAAATCACTGATCTACCTCTATGGCATTTTTACATAGCATTGCTTCTGGTCAATGTACTCATGTCACTGCAAAGGAAATAAAGCAATGAGATCACCCTAATTGAATTAACTGATCTTATCACATCACACATCACCCAGAAGAGGCTGGCTTAGTTAAATGGAGAAATGACTTACTGCAAGCTCCGTTACAGTGCTAAATGGGAGATAACACCCTAAAAGAATAGAGTTCTGTTTTAAAGCATATGGCATATTCTCTGAATTAGAGACCATTATATGGTGCTGTCTCCCCCATGTCCAGGAGATATAATTTGGGAATCAAACGGTAAAAGTAGTAGTGGATTCTCTCACTATTATACCTAACTAGAGGCCTGTTACAGGAAGATTCCTGCAAGAATAGGGCTTCCTGCAGCCGGAGCGAAGCAGAGAAGGGAGCGAAGCCTTCTCTGCTGCCTCGCTCCCTCCCGTGTCCGCTGCCTCCGGACACTCCATCGGCAGCGGAGCAGCGAGGCTGGATCGGATCGGCCACTGGAGTGGGCGGATTGTGCCTCGCTGCTCACTTCTGTGGCCCCAGGCTGGATGACAGGCCCAGACACTCCAGCAGCCTTGCCACTCAGTCCCTCTCCCTGCCTCCCCCGCCACCTGCCTGGCCAACAGGCCTGGACACTTCAGCGGCGGGGCTGAGAGGACTGGGTGCCACCATCTTTGTGACGGAGTGATGGTTAATTTGTATATTACTCTTTTAATAGATAGGACTAGAGGCCTGGTGCATGAAATTTGTGCACGGGTAGGGTCCCTAGGCCTGGCTGGCAATCAGGGCCTCCCCCGGCTGCCAGCTGCTGGCTGGGGCCTTCCATCATTCTGCACTGCCCCCTGGTGGTCAGCGCACGTCAGAGCGAGTGATTGAACTCCCAGTCGAACTCCCAAGGGGACACTTTGCATATTAGCCTTTTATATATAGACTAGAGGCCCGGTGCACAAAATTCGTGCACTGGGGGGTGGGGTTCCCTCAGCCCAGCCTGCCCCTCTCACAGTCCGGGAGCCCTCAGTGGATGTCCTACTGATGGCCACAGTCTGGCAGCAGAGGCTCAGAGCAGGTGTCCTGTGTGTGTGTGTGTGTGTGTGTGTGTGTCTGCTGGGGGCCTGCCCCCAGCCACACCATGGAGGCTTGGAGCAGGAGCCAGTCTGTGTTGATCTCTCAGGCTCCTGGCCTCCACTGCACGTTGTACTCTCCCTTGAGCTATGGCCAGGATGGGGGTGTTGCTTGCAAGCCGGGCTTTCCTGCTCCCGGGTCCCCATGGTGACTGGGAGCAGGCCCAGCTGGGGGCTTCCCACAGGCTGGGCTTTCCTGCTCCCACATCAGACCCAGCTGGGGGCTGCCCGCAGGCCAGGATTGCTTTCCTGCTCCTGGATCAGGCATAGCTGGGGGCTGCCCGCAGGCCGGGCTTGCTTTCCTGTTCCCGGATCAGGCCCAGCGGGGGGCTGCCTACAGGCCGCACTTTTCTACTTACCGATGGCTGGATTACCACAGTGACCCAGGGCCCAGCGGCACTTTCCTGCTCTCCAATAGTCATAGGTTCCAGGCTGGGGGTGGGGCTTAGCAGTGCAGGGCTTAGGCGGCACAGGGGTCCCTGGCTGGGGGTTCAGGTGGCACACAGGGGTCCTGGCTGGGGGCGGGGCTTATGCCCCACTGCCCAGGGCTACACATGGGGCCCGGATGGCAGCTTGCGCTGTCCCACCCTGCCTGTAGTATAGGATAGAGGCCTGGTGCATGGGTGGGGGCTGGCTGGTTTGCCCTGAAGGGTGTCCCAGATCAGGGTGGGGGTCCCGCTTGGGTGCCTGGCCAGCCTGGATGACGAGCTGATGGCTGTTTGCAGCTGGCCACTCCCCCTTTAGGGTGGGGGTCCCCACTGGGGTGCCTGGCCAGTCTGGGTGAGGGCCTGAGAGCCGTTTTCAGGCTGGAGGGCAACTTAAGCTCCCAGCCTCTCCTTTTTTTCTTTTTTTTTTATTCTGGGATTTATTTACCTTCTATAGCTATCACTGGAGCTGAGAGCCGGCTCCAGCTCTGAGGGCTGAAAGCAGGTTCTGGGTCTGTTTGGCTTCTATAATTGAAACTCTGTTGCCATCACAGCAGCTCTAAGCTCTGAGGCCAAAGCTGGCTGAAAGCAGGTTTCTAGGTTTATTTGGCTTCTATAATTGAAACTCTGTTGTCATCACTGCAGCTCTAAGCTCTGAGGCCGAAGCTGGCTGAAAGCAGGTCTCTGGAGCTTGTTTAGCTTCTATCATTTCAACATAGTTGCTTAGAGTCCAGCTCAGAGCCCAGCAGCAGCAGGCCGGGAGCGTTGGCTTCCTCCGTCACTGGAGCAAGCAAGCCTCCTGTTCGCTTCAGCTGCATGGCTGCAGGCTGCCATCTTGGTTGGCAGTTAATTTGCATATCCTGCTGATTAGCCAATGGGAAGGGTGTCAGGGCTATGGTCAATTTGCATGTTTCTCTTTTATTAGATAGGACTAGTAGCCTGGTGCACAAAATTCATGCACATTGAAAGGGAATTAATTAGAGGAATGTAATTTGGACTCACTATCTAATATCAATAATATGTGAGCATGAGGCAGTCCGCGTTTCTGAAATTCGGTGACATGAATTTTAGCTATTACTTTGCCAAATAAATGGAATTTACAGATATCATTTTAAAGAGCATTCAGCTTAATATTAAAAAATCTGGCTACCAAGTCAGGTCTGTTTTCAACTTTTGCCAGCGTTGTAAATTGTTTGCAATATCTGCCCATTTGGGGTTGCATTCATGGTTATGAATAAATCGGACTTGCCCTAACCAGTTTGGCTCAGTGGATAGAGCATCGGCCTGAGGACTCAAGGGTCCCCAGTTCGATTCCGGTCAAGGTCATGTACCTTGGTTGTGGGCACATCCCTAGTGGGGAGTTTGCAGGAGGCAGCTGATCGATGTTTCTCTCTCATCAATGTTTCTAACTCTCTATCCCTCTCCCTTCCTCTCTGTAAAAAATCAATAAAATATATTTTTTAAAAAATCGGGCTTGCCATACCTTGTTACAATTGCCATAGCATCCCGATATCGCTGCTGCATATTTCTGGGACTA